GTCACAACTAATGGGTGCAGAGTGCACCCTCTGGCAGATGGGCACGCTTGTAGTTCTGGCTTGGGGGGTGCAAAGGCAATATATGTAACCAAAATGTTTGTACCCCCATAATATTCTGAAATGGAAGAAAAAATTTTTCTCTTGATTTATTAGCACACGTTCACAACAGTCTGACAAACTGGCCGTCCGCCACCATATAGTTCTAGGGGCTCATCAGAGATATGGCAGTACTTGCATGTCAAATCCCCAGACTCAGTTCTCCCCTTGGCATTAGTTTTGGGGGTCCTGAGACTTTTATTTTTTCCTCCATTAACCTTCCTTTAAAATCCCATTACCAGTTTCTATTTTTAATGATGAGCAAGCAAGCTTTGGCAACGGATAGTGGTGATGGTTGCAGAACACTGCAACTGTACTTAATGCCACTGGATTTTACTTAAAAATGATTAAAATGGTAAACATTATGTTATGTATATTTACCACAATTTTTAAAATTCCATTTCCAACTCTTTATCTTAGACAGGTCTTAGGACCATGACCTAGATTTCTGTTAATCTTCTAGACATTCTCCCTACACCCAGCATCTTCCCATCCAACCACCTTACATAGCACTGCCTAAAATACTGCTTCTATTATATGAACTATTTCTTCAAAAAATTTATTACTTATAAATATACATTCCTTAGACAAATATTCAAGACCCTATGCCATCTGGTCTCAATTTACTTTTCGATCGTATCTTTTGCAAACCTCTCTTAGCTACAAATAGCTTTGTCAGACAATTCTTAGTGTTTCTGCTCATGCTTTTTCCTCACCTAAAAGGTTTTCTTCTCCATCCTGGTTAATCTTACTTATTACAATCTTACTGGTTCTATAAAATGTATTCTGACCATCATAATCCAGATTGATTTCCTTCTCCCCTCGTTAGTTATGAAGGAGCTCAGGAAATTTCACCAGAGAATATGACTCCTTGGTATAAAGAGTATTTTGAATTAAAGCCCTTTACAGATCAACAGGCCCTTGGAATGGGCTTTCCCTCTATCCACATAATCAGACAGACCCATAAAAAGAAACAATCAGCTTCCCTTTCCTTCCCTATTATCTCACTATATTGCAGAAAAGAAAATCGAGAATGCAACCAGACCTGGCCCAAATCATTTTAAACATAATACCTGTCTCTCAGGATAATTTACAAGCCACAATGTTTCCCCCAGCCATTCATCCTCCCTAGCAAGCCAACATTTATTGCCCCTAAACAAAATTACCTATATTCCTCATCTCCTTCTCCCCTCTAAAAGGAGGGTATAAAAATAAAAATATCTGGATCCTTCAGGATATTGGGTAATTACTCTGTGATTCTCCCTGTACACACAGTAAATAAACCTCTGCCTCTTATTAATCAACCTTAATTGCGAGTTGATATTTCAGCAAACTTTCTCCATTGAAAGTTTGCTGAAATTTCTCCATTGAAAGTTTGCTGAAATATCACCCCGACAGTTACCACTGACTGGACATTCTTATTGCTTATTTGAAAAACTGCATAGAATACATAGAACACAAATTCTACCTCAATTAAATCACACACCCCTTGAAATTAAGATGTGTAATCTTTTATTTCTCTGTATATCCTAGTATCTATATAGAACTGCGGTCCCCAAGCCCTGGGCTGAGGCCCAGTTGTGGTCTGTGCCACATGTCACCATCTGAGCACTCCCCCAATCCCTTGGCCATGGAAAAATTGTCTTCTGTGAAAATTAGGAGCCAGGCCACATAGCAGGTGAGCAGTGAGTGAGCAAAACTACATCTGTATTTACAACCAGTCCCCATCACTTGCCTCACCACCTGAGCTCCCCGACCCCTCCAACGGAAAACTGTCTTCCATGAAACCGGTTCCTGGTGCCAAAAAGGTTGGGGACCACTGATATAGAAGGTACTAAAAACAAACCAAAAAAAATGATGGACTTATCTAATTCCAAGTCATCAAATAACAATAAAAAATATTCAATTACAAGATAGAAGGAATTATATTATAGAAGAAGTTTTCAATATGGAACATTCAAATAAAGAGATTTTCAGTTAATCCTAAATTAAATGAATCCTATTCTGCCATCTTTTCATCACTTATAATTCATACCTATTTCCAAAACACACCTGAGATTATAAAAATAGAAAGTACAGACCTGAGGCCAAAATGGCTGACTAGATACAGCTAATATGTGCCTCTTACACAGAGAGGAGCCAAAATAGCAAGTGGTTATTCACACTTCAATTAGATTGTCTAAGAGAGTACACCAGGATTAATAAGCCTCAAATATGTCACTTACCAAATGTCACTTAATGACATAGAAAGCCAAAGCACTGTAGGTAACCAGAGCAAACTGTTCTGTAATTTTTGCTTCCATATTGTATCACTATTTCCAATATTTAATAATTTTATAATTTTATCTGATTATATCATGCATTTTTCAAAAAAACAGAATCATTTTTTTAAAAAATAAAGTGGCCAAATAAGATTACAAACAAAATAATAATTGTTCCTGTTGCATCACTGTTATGGATTGAATTGTGTTCCTCCAAAATTCATATGTTGAAGCTCTAACCTCCAGTACCTCAAAATGTATCTGGGGCCTTTAAAGAGATAATTAAAGTTAAATGAAGTCATAAGGGTGGGATCCTAATCCAAGAGGACTGGTGTCCTTATAAGAAGAGGAAGAGATATCAGGATATCCCACACAGAGGATAGGCCATAGCAAGAAGGTGGTCATCTGCAAGACAAAGAGAAAAGCCTCACTAGAAACCAACACTGTTGGCACCTTGATCTCATACTTCTGGCTTCCATAACTGCGAGAAAATTAATTTCTCTTGTTTAAGCCACCCAGTCTGTGGTATTTTGTTAGGACAGGCCTAGCAAATTAACACAACTAGGGGCTGAGGGGCCCCAAATATAAAAAACAAAGGTGTGACAGGCCCACCCATTCTAACAAGAGGTGCTAGATTAGCTATACAGAGCTTGTTAAGGTGAGACCAAAAACAGGTCCGGAAGCCTTGGGCTATCCCATCTATCACCTACCTCAAGGACATTGAAACAGAACAGTGAAATTTAAAATCAAAGATTAAGAAAGTAAGGATTTGTTTAAAGGGAAAGTTGGTGGAGAAATAAAACGCTTCCCCTGACTTTCCCGAGGCCAAGTGAGGGGGCATCAGATAACCACATGGGAAGTTTGAACAGTCTACAAAACTCCTGAAAGAGTCGGAGACATCTGAAAGAGTCTAACACAGACAGGCTGGTTAGAGGTGCCTTGGGTGGCAATACAAAGAAAGGCTTTGGGCCGGGCGCAGTGGTTCACGCCTGTAATCCTAAGCACTCTGTGAGGCGGAGGCAGGAGGATCGCTCAAGGTCAGAAGTTCGAAACCAGCCTGAGCAAGAGTGAGACCCTATCTCTGCTAAAAATAGAAAGAAATTAATTGGCCAACTAAAAATATATAGAAAAAATTAGCCAGGTGTGGTGGCGCATGCCTGTAGTCCCAGCTACTCGGGAGGCTGAGGCAGAAGAATTGCCTGAGCCCAGGAGTTGGAGGTTGCTGTGAGCTAGGCTGATGCCATGGCACTCACTCTAGCCTGGGCAACAGAGAGAGACTCTGTCTCAAAAAAAAAAAAAAAAAAAAAAAAAAGGAAACACAGCTCTGCCCTGAGACCAACCTTCATTTTAAGAATTTGGCAAGGACATGCATGTGTTGTTTCCTGAGGACCACATAGGAACGCTGAAGAAAGAAACAAGATGTAGGTAATTTTCTAAATGAACTACCTGGTGAAGCCAGGGGCTGTGGAGGAGTGAGAAGGGGCCAGGCAAGAAGGCACAGCTGACATGGGAACCTTGGGAAGCTACCGATAAATCTCCCTCCCTACCGTATGCCCAGTGGGGGCGGGGCAGGGGGGGGGTGATCAGTGTAATTTTCCAGCACGACCTCACCACTTTTACCTAATATTTGAAAATGATCTTTCGTGGGGTAAAAACATTTCTGGCACCTTCCTCCTCATCCTATCTTGCCTTCTCACGTGTCTCATTCTTTACTACACGTGAATGTTTATACCACCGCTGTACAGGAATGTGGCTTTTTTAAATTAAATTTAAAAAAAAAAAAAAGAAAAAAGAGGGTCTTGCTATACTGTTTCCCAGGCTGGTCTTGAACTCTGAGCTCAAGCTGGGAGCATGGGACTACAGCTGGGACTATAGGTGTACACCACCACACCCAGCTTAAGTAACATCCTTAATCTGGCAACTAATACTCTTAGAAATACATTTTTCCCTTTCCTCTTTGACTTGGGAAAAATAAGGAAAGAAATAGCACTTCAAGGATAAATAATTTTTCTCTTACCATATTTAGGAAGGAGAACTCAATAATGTTTATGGCCATAATTATTACACTTAAAGGAGTTCCTTCATATAAAAATCACTTCATACCTCCATTTTTACCTCACAAAACGAAGATAATTATTTTAGGACTCAATCTTGTTTATGAGAAAAAGCCAAGCACACCAGAGAGCTTTCAGTCTCAAAGGTCACTAACCAACCACAATTTAATTAATACTTTCTAAGTTTAGAAAATATTATAAAAAATATTATAATAAATAATTAATATTTTCTAAGCTTATTCTCTAATATTTTCAAAATCATTCTTCTTCTCATTCCTTCTATGGCAGTCACTAGTCAGAAAAGAATTTCTTTTACCCCAAAGCATCAGGGCTTCCCAATACTATATTACCGAAGTATTCATATGCCAATGGTCTCAGAAATTCCATTTAATAATGGTATTTTATACTCAGTTTAGTATTATTTTAGGTAAGAGATGAGGGCCTATAGTAAAATAGCAAGGTGGTAGTTATGGAAAGACCATAAGTATTTGAGAGCTTATTTTCACATTTAACTTTTAAGTATTTAAAAGCTTAGTTTTCAATGTAAAATATAATTGTTTTAACTCCTGAAAGGATTTACCATACTAACCCTGAAAGAGCTGCACGAATCGAGGATGTAACGCTGAGGTGATCACCCCATCTGGCAGCTCCCTCAGGAAGAGCTTCAACAGACTAGCTGCTGAGCAGACGTCGCCGTCTCTCCCGAGCTCCACGGGCTCTCCACGCTCAAACTTCAGTCGCAGCTGTTCCACCACCTTCACGTTGCCATTCACCCTAAAAAGGCCTTCTTGAGAGAGTCCTGGAACAGCAAAGTAGACACAGAACATAAATAGAGCTTTCTCACAAACAGATACAAAATCTAAAGAATAACAACAACAGGAATAAATAAATCTCAGCATAGGATTCTCTGAATAGTAAGTATATTTATCAATCATTGGAAGATTTTTGCATTTTATAAAAATGTTTTCTTAGAACAGTAAGTTTTCATACCCAACTAAAAAGAGCATATGATTATTACAAAAGCTGACCTCTAAAACTAAGGCCTATGCCATACATAAACATAGAATATATAATACTACACAAAGAAATTTAATTTATATAATCATAGTACATAACAGAAACTTACCCTGGGCTCTAATAGTAGGTTAGCATTTCATGGACAACTATTTTAAAATATGACATGTATGTAAGAAACTTCTGAACTATATGTGATTACCTTTGTAATAGTTTAAGAAATAAGCAATATTTCTTCAGTAATCACTAAATTCAAAATGTAAGAGTGCAGGAGACTACAGAGCAGGCGTCCTCAAACTTTTTAAACAGGGGGCCAGCTCACTGCCCCTCAGACCGCTGGAGAGTGCGCACTGTGGCCCCAGGACGAGTCGGCTACTAAGCAGGACAGGCAGCAGTGGCAAAAACACCCGGCAGGCTGGATAAATGTCTTAGGCAGGCAGCATGTGGCCCGAGGGCCATAGTTTGAGAACGTCTGCTACAGAGTGACATAAGACTGATCTTTAAGTCAATTGACAGGGATAGCAGTATCAGCTGAGGTTAGCAGAGAAGGCCTCCTGGAGGAGGTAAACTTAACATTTGGCTAAAGCATAAGCAAAATGGAAGCGCTGGGGCTGATGTAGTGTGAATCTAACGTAACTTAAGCTGTAGGTTTCCTTGTTTTCTTGGGTCCATTCTAAGCTCTGTTCCTAATTCTGTATTCTTCATGTTGTGATCTTTTTCTTAAAGAGGTTTCAAAAGGATTAAGCATCTGGACCTACATAACCTTGATCTGTCCTTGACAAAGAACCAAAAATATCTGAATTAAGAAACAGAAACAGAATAGCACAAAGAAAGGTAGGCAGATGAAAATGTGGGCTGTCAGGTCAAAGACCGATAGGTAATAAAATGGAAAAAATGGGATAGGGCCTACGAATGCCAAGTTAAAGACTGAAGACTATCACTGGAGCATTAAGTGGCAGAAAAGACACAATACAACCAGGGTTTAAAGGAGACTCGTTAAGAAATAGAGACTAGTTAAGAAATAGAGAACGGAGAGGGCAAAGAGCTTGCCTTAGGGAGACTGTCTTCTACTGCAAGGCAGTAAGACTGAGATTATGGTGGAAAAGTAGTAAAAAACGAAGAATAAACATGACTTGGTAAAAGGGTAACCTTAAGGTTTGAAAAATAGAAACCCAGGAAATAAACACTGTAAAAGATAAGGTGAAAGGGTAGGGATGGAGGGAGTAGCTGGTTTAGGGCAGAAGATAATGATTTCCAGCTCAGCATGTTGGGTTTAAGGACACAGTACACGGCATGAGCAAATGTGTCAGATAGTGGAGGACTCTGAAGGTGTAGGAAACAATATTTCTAAGAGTAGGCCAAGGACTTAACTCGACACTCTTCTTTTGAGAGTCCAATGGTGAATGTTAGCAATGACATAAACATTGAAGTCTATTAGAATTTTGAGGGAGATGACTGTTTACATCACAGCCTGTATCTTTCTCATATCTGGTAATTGTATTGCTCTTTTAAAAGCAAAAGAGGAAGCTGATTTCATTTTAATTTATAACTTGATGAAATACTTTATAAACTCTTTAATTCAACAAATATGTAATGGGTGTCTGGCACTATGTTAGGTACTAAAAAAAAATGTGAGAAATATATTCAAACACTACCATTATCCTTACGGAGTCTGCAGTAAGATGTTTGTGTTCTTCCACATATACATATCATTTGGCTGTGAAGAACATCAGTATCAAAAGTTGGCATGTGCTGGGCGAAGTTGGCTCAGGGCTGTAATCCTAGCACTTCGGGAGGCCAGGGCAGGAGGATCACTTGAGGCCAGAAGTTGGAGACTAGCCTGGGCAATATAACAAGACCCTCATCCCATCTCTAGAAAAAATTTTAAAAATTAGCCAGCCATGGTGGTTCACACCTGTAGTACTAGCTATTAGAGAGAGTGAGGCAAGAGGATCGCTTGAGCCCAGGAGTTTGAGGTTGCAGTGAGCCGTTATGACGCCATGGCACTTTAACCTGGGCAACAGAATGAGACCCTGTTTCAGAAAACAAACAAAAAGTTGATATTAATTTCAGCTCTAATCCTGACAAAAATTAAGAGCCCAAGGATGATATGAAAAGTATTAAACAACCACTATGGTCAGGGCACCATCTAATCAGAAGAGATACCAGCCAGTATGCTGGCAGGCAGCTTCCAAAACAGTCCCCGTGATCCCCAGCCTCTCGGTATCACACCCATGTAATCCCCTTCAATCGAGTGTGGACTGGACCTAGTGACTTGCTTCTAACAACAGAATGCAGCAAATGCGATGTCACGTCTGAGATTAAGTTATAAAAACTGTGACAATCCATCGTGCTTGTTCTCTCTCTCTGGCTTGCTCAGTCCGATGAAACAGCCACCGAATTTACTTTGTTACCTACCCTAGGGAAAGGACCATGGGCAAGGAACTAAGAGTGGTCTCTGGCCAACAACCAGTGAGTAACTGGGACCCTCAGGTCAACAGTCTAAAAGTAACTGAATCTTGCCAACAACTGCATGAATGAGTTTGCCAGGGAATCTTTCCCCTGCCTTCCAAGTCCTGATATAACTGAAGTCTTGGCTGATACCATGATTGCAGTTTGTCAAAGACCCTAAGACAGAGGATGCAACTAAGCCATTCCCAGATTCCAGACCCACAGTAACTGTGAGATAGTAATAATTACTGTTTTAATCTACTATGCTTTGGGGTAATTTATTATACAGCAGTGGATAACTAACATGATATGCCATTTCCTTAAATTCTGCGGAGTATCAGGTACCATTGGGAGATTTCAGCTGTCACTAAAAGCCTTCATTCAAGGTCTGTTTCCCCCTACTACATAAAAGTTCATCCTTAACTTCAGGAACTTGTCCAGGTATCAGTCAGCTAGCATCCGATAAAAGGACATTCTATCTCTGGTCAAAGCTCAAATCTTGAAAATCTAGAATGTTGTGTCCTGCTCCCATATTTACCAAGTTCCTTAACCTAACCTTGCCTTCTGTTTTTGGCCAAGCAAATGCCCCTTGGATCTGATTTCATATGGTGTTTTTCTAGCTTTGACCTTAGACTTTCTTTTCCAACAAAGTTTTTTTGAACCTTCCCTTAAATAAATATACTTCCAGCAATTCCAAAATAACTACCCAGCTCTAAAGAACTGTGATCCTCAAGCCTCCTGATCCCACTGGACCACACTATTAATATCAGACAGATACGCTATAAATGGAAGTCATTGAACTTAATGTTTATCAACCAATTTTTTCTGCCTCCATTCCATATACTGAACAACTCTCTTCCTTCAGGGATATCTCCCACAGAAAACAACTCTTATGATACTTAGTGATATTCAACCAGGGGAAGTTTACTCCTAGACGTGGGTATGTTATATTCTGGGGAAAATAATCCATATAGTTTTTAAGAGCACCTTTATGATGAAAGAATATATGCAGTGCCCATATGAGGGTAAGCAGACTACATAACCTTTAAATTTTCCTACTCTAAAATTTTAGAAAGTTATGGCTATAATAGAAATGTTCAGAAGAAGGAGATATTTAGATGATTTCATGAAGTAGAATTACTCTCATACGTTTCAGAATTCCTGTTATATTTGAGTTCAGGAGATACACTGTGCTGTCACAAAACAGCAACTTAATAGTGGCTTAGAAATGACAGAAAAATTATGTAAGTTAACGTCTATATAACTGACAGCTACTTTTTTGTACAACTGAAATATTTCTTTCAAAATAGTATGAATATTATCATTAGAAACTAAATATACCAGAAGTCAGAATTTGCCTAATGGCACACTTTGGCTCAGGAAGTATATGACAATATGTAAGTGCATTCTGACACCTGGTGGTAGCTTGAGACTCCTACACTGTTTAAAACAGCATAACTCACAGTACCTTCACACCCTAAGGAGAAGAAATCTATGAATATTGGCAGCAAAATTATTTTAAAACACTTTAAAAACTTATAACTTATAAGTTATACTACATATTTTAGAGGAAAGAGTCCAAAGTCAGTTTAAAGGCCTTGATATAGGTTTTTTTTTTTTTTTTTTTGAGACAGAGTCTCACTCTGTTGCCTGGGCGTCAGTCAGCCTAGCCTCAAACTCCTGGGCTCAAATGATCCTTCTGCCTCAGCTTCTCGAGTAGCTGGAACTACAAGCATGTGCCACCATGCCCAGCTAAATTTTTCTATATATTTTTAGTTGGCCAATTAATTTCTTTCTATTTTTAGTAGATTTGGGGTCTCACTCTTGCTCAGGCTGGTTTCAAACTCCTGACCTTGAGGGATCCATCCCTGCCTGAGCCTCCCAGAGTGCTAGGATTACAGGCGTGAGCCAGGGCACCTGGCTTGATATAGGTTTTGATAAATCCTTTCTGTCCTAAAATTCCATTATAATAACTTTCCCTCATGTGAAGTTGTTTTTGTCTGACAAAAACTATGAAGTATGATGAAAATCACAAGTGTACAAAAATATTTGTTGACTTGAAAAAACTACAAAATAATTAAAAACAAAATGAACATTATACCACCCTTCAAACTTATACAGGTTCTTTAGTTTACTAACATAATAGTTTCAAATACAAGAAGGGGTGTCTGGTTGTATACGTAGTAATTAACTATATAGCATTTCAAAACGTAGGTGCCAGGCCCTACTTCAGTTTGCCCCATCAAGATTCTGATTCAGTAGTTGTGGGGTGTGGCCAATGCATGTGTATTCTGAAAAGACTCCACTAGCTATTCCATTTCACAGCTCCAATTAAGAATAACTGACAGAACCCACTGAAATGTTTAGTTTGCATTACCTGACTATAACCATTAAAATATAACTAAAAGTATGCTAAGGAGGGGCAGAAGAAAACCTATAACCCCATTTGAAATTTTGCCAAAATTCTCACAAATTGATGGTGTGAATGTAAACTGGTTTACTTCCTATAGAGCTCATTACAAATGTACATATCCTTTGACTCAGCAGCCCACTTCTAGGAGGTTAGTTTGTAGTTATATGTGCTTGAAATGACACAAGTTAAGGGTTAGTTATGGAATCATTGTTTATAAACATAAGACTAGAAACAATTCAATGCCCATCAGTATGGGACTGCTTAAAGAAATGATACATACATAGAGCAGAACAATGTGCAGAGGAAAATAAGAGAATTAAAACTGAGTAAAGCTCTTTATGTAAGATGGAACAATCTCCAAAATACACTGAAAGATTTTTGTAAAAACATTCAGAACAATATGCATAGTGTACTATATTTGTGTTAAAGGGGAAAAAAGAACACATACATATATGCTTTAATTTTGCACGAAATATCTTTTTAAGAAGATACCAGAAAATACTAGTATAGTAATACTGTTCTGGAGAGGGGAAATGATGGTCAGGAGACAGGGTTTGGAGGGAGAGACTTTTCAGAGTTCACTCATATTTTGAACCACATAAGTTTATAAACTATTCAAAAACATATAAAATTTTAAAAATTAAAAACATAAAAGATTTTTACATGATAAGAGTAAAATCAAGAGACTATTATTCAAGCAATCTTGGGGAAAGGAACACTGATTATGCCAAAACCAAATTATTATTTTAGGTAGTCACAGTGGGGCATACAAATGAATACTGAATAACACTATTTAACACATCAATTACCTAGAGATTCACTTGTATCTAACTCAGTGGGATGCAGTTTTACTCAATACTGGATATGTAAATGAGTCCTGTCAAAGCTCTAACTTAGTAACACCTGGCTTCAAGATTTTGTAGGCTAGGCTCCCATCTTTCCTGCTGTGCTATGTATAACACCTTTCATGTTTAACTGTTTAAAGTATTTCAATAAAGCCACAGCTGTTTTCTAAGAATCTGGCACTTCTGTAGCTTATTTTCCTTCCAAAATAAGGAGAGGAAAGAAAACAAGTTTGGCTCTTCGGTTTTCAGAACAAAATATCATTTTGTCCTCTACATACCTGGTAACCAGAGCACACAGATTTTTTTTTTTTCCAACTAACACAAACACCTGACCTTCTCGAGGAATGAACCATCTGCCATAGAGTCCCCATCAAAAGGTGATACATGTTCCCATAAAGAAGCATATGATCAGCGCTTCTCACTCATTTCCAATGAAGGATCCTTACTGGGAGGGGAATGTCATACTGGGAAGATACGGGCCTGAAGCAAACTGCACAGAGGACAGTAGCCCCCTTATCCACACAGAACACACTGCAAGAGCCCCAGTGGATGTCTGAAACCTCAGGACCAAACTCTAAATATACTGCTTTTTCCTATAACTTATAATTTGGCACAGTACGAGATTAACAACGATAACTAATAATAAAATAGAATTGTAACAATGTACTGTTCGTAATTTCATGGAGAGATTCGTTCTCACCATAGATCTTAACAATCTCAGCATTAGACTTTTTTTTTCTTTCCTTACTACATCAAGAACTTTCATCTTTTCGCTGAAAGGAAGTACTTTTTGGCTTCTCTTTGGCATAACTGAACTGCCAGCATCACTACTGTTGCACTTTGGAGCCATTAGTAAGTATCATAAGGGTCACTTGAAAACAAGCACTGCCATACATACCAAGACAGTCAATCTGGTAACTGAGACCAAGACTAAGTGATTAATGGGCAGGTGACCTATACACGTGGATATGCTGGACAAAAGGATAAGTCACATCCTGAGTGGGGACAGAGTGAGATTTCATCATGCTACCTGGAACAACAGGCAACTTAAAACTTATGAAGTTATTTATCTCTAGAATTTTCCATTTAATATTTTTGGACCTTGGTTGACTACACATAACTGAAACCCTGGAAAGCAAAACCATGGATAAGGGAAAACTACTGCACAGAATTTATTTTGAAGTCTCAAGTTTTACATTTTAAAATCCCTACAAATTTTATGTTTTGAAATGAGTCCATTCTTATTTTAGCACAGAAATGATAAAAATTCCAAACTTTTCCCTCAGAATGTTTCCCTCCCAAATCTCCCAAATCTTTTAAAATTCACTGATATTTATCATGTAGTTTAGAGTTCTCCATCACACCACCCTAGCTCCAAAAGGATGTAAGAGGGATATGGAAGCATTCTTTCAAATTATCCAGTCTTGTGTTTTGTTTTAAATAAAATCATCAAAAAGCTGTGGGCTACAAGTTTTCAATAACAGACATAATTTACCTTTTATATATTACTATATTATTCTCCAAATGCTTAACATGCTTAATTTTATCACTCCAAAAATAAATGACACCCCAATAGTAGAGTAAACATCATAATTTTTTAGTATCCCTACTAAGTGTCTGAAGACCATCAAGGCATTCAGTAAGTTCATGATTGGTCTCAGGTGAAAGAGGTACCCAGAAAGTGTTCGATTACATTAAAAATTAAAGACTATCAGTTGAAATTTAATTAACCAAGAGAACTCACTATTAGTATTAGAACAGTGTATTTTAAGTGTATTTAGGCAATTAAAACTAGAAAACATTCCAAACTAGAAATCTAAATAATTAAAGTGATTGTTCTATTGTTAATCAAAGTAGTATTGTCAAGATAATGTTGACAAAAGTATCATCAAGCAGTAATGTCTTCTTTTTTTTTTTTGAGACAGAGTCTCACTTTGTTGCCCAGGCATGAATGAGTGCCATGGCATCAGCCTAGCTCACAGCAACCTCAATCTCCTGGGGCTCAAGCAATCCTTCTTCCTCAGCCTCCCGAGTAGCTGGGACTACAGGCATGCGCCACCATGCCTGGCTAATTTTTTCTATATATATTAGTTGGCCAATTAATTTCTATTTCTAGTAGAGATGGGGTCTTGCTCTTGCTCAGGCTGGTTTCGAACTCCTGATCTCGAGCAATCCGCCCGCCTCAGCCTCCCAGAGTGCTAGGATTACAGACTTGAGCCACCGCTCAGACTTGAGCCACCGCTCCCGGCCTATAAGGGAAGAGTATAATATATTACATAATAATTTGATATTCTAATTAAGGTCTTTTAGAAGATATTCTAATCATACATTATAAAATAATTCATACAAACTCCCTTTATGCAAGAACTATAAGAACAGAACTAAAACATGCCTTAGCTTACCATGCTGGGTCAAGTATTCCACTATGTTCCACACAATGGCTGGAATACCATTCTCAGTGAGCCCCTGCTGATGAAGTTCTTGGAGACTGACTCCAAATAATTTCTTACAGGTAGAATCCCTCTGTTCATTTAATGGCACCGCCACTATCTTTTTCATGTCTTCTTTCAGCCGAACTGCTGCTTTACTTTGCTTAAAAGAGCGGAAGAAAAAAGAGCAGTCAGTCATATTTACCACAGGAGGTTGCATGGTTACAACCCGAGCACCTGAATCAAAATGTAAACGTTTGGAGATAAATAGCAGTGGTCTTCGCTTATTTTTACTTCAACTCAAATAAAAATCTTTAACATCTCTCATGTGTTGCTCAGTGTTACAAAAGTCACAGACTCATATAATGGTTAAAAAGAGTAGAATATAATGAGAAACCTGAAGCCACAACTTAAGTGTGGCTTAGCAGGGAGCAACACACTGCAGTATCTAAGAGATATTACTACAGTAACCAAGGGGTGTGACTCAGAAGTACCTGGTTAACAGGAAAATAAAACATTTTTAAGAACCCCACGAAACCCTCGAAACTCTACGCAGACCCAGAAACACTGAGATGTTTTTAAAGATGAAAATTTACCTAGATGTCATTTTAAGGTAGCTTTTAAAGAGTCAGAAGAAAAATTTCAAATGTAGAGTGAACATTTTATTTCTCTGACTTCACTGCCTCTGTATATATCTCAGTAATTTTTTGGCACATAAAATCAATTTGATTCTCATTGAGGTTCAAAATGCCATGTCTTCGAAATAGCAACATTTTGGGTAGTCACAATTTTAAAATTTTCAACAAGACTATGTTATAAATAAAAAAAATGAAACTTACATTCAATTGACTCAAGTTACTAACAATGAAAAATCCATGCGTTTGTTTCTTCCTTTTAATAAAAATTTGTATCCCAAGGAAGAGAACATTTTTTTAAGCATGTATCTTATCTAAATGTTAAAAATGTATGTTAGTAAAATCCAAACACTGAAAAGAAAAATGGCAAAATGTAAAAAAATGTACTGGGGGACAGAGGCAGCAGTACCAGGGGAAACTTTCACTTTTTGTGAATGAATGTAACAACTAATCAAAGTGTAAATATTACTAAGTGACTACCATTTAGTTATTATAGACAGTATCCTAAGAGTAGAAACATTACCTCTAATCTAGAGTTAAGGAAACAAAACCACAGTTAAGTAATTTGGTAAAAGTCACAGAAACTAATAAAAGACAGTTTCCTCTTGTTCTGGGTCTATGTTCCTCTCCTTGATTTAGATTTAATGTTATAGAGCAGTTGGCATATAATTATAGTAACAAACTATGATAAATGCTATATATGACATAAGACAATTACACACAAGTAGTTAATTCTACAATCATTATGTTGAGTAGGATACTTGTAATCGTAATTTGATTTTGAATTGCATAATCTATAGAATCAGGTCAAATTTCACTGACATATTTGCATCTTTTAATAGGTCAAATTAATGCTCTGTTAATAGCCCTTCCTCTTCATTCTCCCCATTGGTTAGAACTGCAGACAGTAAGTTGTGTCTCTGTAAATAGGGTAACAAGCAATCTTGGCATGGTGACTCAGAAAGTTTTCAGGTAAGAGACATAATTAACCTCACACATTTTGAAGTGACTGCAATTTAAACTACTTACTCAAAATAGAGCAATACTATATAACATCTTCATACACAATGACAATAATAAAGGAATATCTGATTATTGTTTTTAATTGGCAATTTAATTCAGGCTAATACTTTAAAGAAAAACAAATATTGGCTAAAAAACAGTGAAATAGCAATTATACTTTCACTAAGAATAGAAGATTTGATTCTTGTTTTTAATTGGTAATTCAGGGTGACATTTTTAAAAAAAGTAAACATTGTTTTAAAAGCAACCACAATGAAACATAATAGTTGTATTTTCAGAGACATCCCAATTAATCCTTCACGTCACCATAAATACATATCATAAGGTTTTGCTCTTCTTAGTTGGAGAAGGAGACATGTAATAGAAACTAATGAGATGTTTTTAGTAGTTTATACCTAAACTATTAAAGAGTACACAATAGCTTAGAGCAAATATAAAATATCCTTTCCAGTAAGTAATAATAGTCAATAGTCCTCTAGTTATTGAATAAAAATAACTATAGAAATAAAAAACTATAATTAATTCCATTTAAACTGAAATTATTTTGTATTGTAATACAATGATACATTACTACCTTTTTGTAAATTTAAATACCTGTAGAGTTTTAGCTTCCCTTCAAATACACATCTTACCTTTCTAGCCTTAATATTAATATTGCCTTTATTATTGATAAAGGCATTTTTCTGTCTTTTGACAAGCCACTCAAGCTTCAGCTGCCTGCAGGATTAAGGGTCTGATTCACCGATGTGCATACTGAACCCGCTGGTTTATTAGAGGCAGGACAATCATTCTGAGTTACAGTCTCCTTACAGCTGTTGACAATGAAGGTGCATCATTCCCCAGGACACAGTCAGGATTTTATATTAGGAAAAAAGACAAGCGGCGGCCCCCAACCAACAAATATTCAACAGTAACAAGAGTTACTAATTAAGGTATTCTTAGTCTACCTTAACTTTTTCAAGGTCAGACCTGGGGCTTCTGGATCCTTGAGTACAGCCTTTTCACTGAATCTAAATTTTACAGAACAAATCCTTCTAATAAAGGGATTTGTTATGGGAAGTTTGGATTCAGCTGAGGGGCCACACTGGGGGATCTTGAAGCCACAGGTTCCCCACTCACTCCTGGCTTTTGTTTGCACATGAATTCCCACACATCACTTGAGTTTGAAGACTGGACTATCGAGTGTTTTGTGTATGTCTGTGTAACAACAATACAGGTTCCCACGTTAAATGCACAGAAAACCTTAGGATTTTACTGTTAGAAAAATCCTTAGAGGTCTTTTAGTGCTTATGCCATAACCTTAGGAATAAGAAAATCAGGACCACTGTGGTAATCTCAGTGAGAAAGGGCTGCGCCTAAAGCCCAGCTCTCCTGAGTTTTATACCAGTATTCTTTTTTATAATTAAGTGCTGGTGACCTTGTTTATTTACACCTTTATTTTTATTCAAAAATTAGTTAAGATAGTTAACAAATTGCAAACACTAGGAATGTAGTTAATATTTGCTCACCCTGTCTGTCTGATCTTTCTTTCCTGAGCAGCAGGAAGGACTCTCTCTGGAATTTCCTCACCTGATTCAAGAAACTTCTTTCCAAAAGAAATGCAATAATCTTGAGACCTCCTCACTAGGAATCTCATCAAATAACCAGGGAAGATTAACCATCAGAGAAGAGACTCATCTACGCTGAGTAGTTTCTTAAACAGTGATTTTTATGTCAACCTTAAATGAAGTTTTGTTCATGTTTTGGATATAAATTAAGGAAAATCATGAAGTTTCACAGGAGTCAAAGTGTATTTCAGTTAAGGTAGAGATCAGTGTATTGTGGGCCAAGGGCAAGAAGACAACCAATCAGAGATGACTACAAATCTGCAAGACAAATAGGTCAATCTGCAGCCTCATTCTACACATTTTCCATTCTATATTTTTCTTTTATAAAGCTAACAGAAGATTTGTCTTTGTAACAAAATATAAACATCAATATTTTACACATAAACAAGTCAGATTTTGAAGGAAATTCTCTGGAGTGATAAAAAGATGCTACAAGCCTCAGGGCTAAAAGACAGACAGCCTGACACACAGGATGCTGAAAAGTTCTGAGCCTGGAAACAAGAAAGTCATCCTGCAGAGTTTTACTAAGAAGATGCAATCTGTGGGGATGGACGGTCCTCCATCTGGTGACCATTCAATGTCTATGTGTCAAAATTGCCCAGATTTCTGGATATTTAAGGATGCCATCACACATCACACCCACAACAAACTGCAGCTCTTTCTGAAACTCAAAAAATAAAAAAATAAAAAAATAAAAAACAATAAGTGAACAGATAATGAGTAGTTAAGGTAATAATAAAGAAGAAGAAGGTTCTCATTTAGTACCTCTCTGGACAAATAAAATGCCCCACGGAACACAATATGAACTTGAAATTTAAATATATATAATTCACATATAAATCTATGCATTTTCTATAGTGAAATAAAAATATAAATTACAGCATTCTATAAATTATATAATTGACAATATTTGATTATTGTAAAAGGTTTTTTATAAGCACCAGAATTTTTTAGAAATTCATGAATTTCCATCCTAGAAATATGCACATTTCCCTACAGATTTTATATTGGTGTTGTTTACTGATGCTCCTGTATTATAAAAACCATAAGTTTCCAGTTGATTAAGGATTCACATACACTAACCAAGCTTTTCCACCATCACTTTCAGCAACTGTGCTAAAACAAAACTTCTAGAGTTACTAAACAAAAATAGTTACTAAACAAAAATATGAAATAGAAAAATGTCATATACATACTCAAAGGTTAATTAATGGTTATTTCAATTCTTTCTCAAGCTAGCCACAGGATTTTTCCACTAACTACAATTAAACATTCATATTTAACTCTTTAGGAACAAGAAAGTCTAAACCACTTGAGTATACTCTACTTTAAATCAAGCTGACTTAGCCAAATCAACTAGGCATGTGTTTTCCTTCACGTTTTTTTGGAAACTGAAAAGCACAAAAATGCTGAATGTCACCCAAAATGCTGGGTAATACCCATTTGAATAGTTAGGAGTTTAAGTAACAGCTATTTCCCCCCTCTCCTAGGAAGGAAAGGAAAAGTTACACAAAGTTCTCATCAAAACAAGGAGGGCAAAGGCCTCCCCTAAAAACTGGCGGAATCCACAGAAGACAGAAGGAGGCCTGTACTTACACAGATGGCTAGAGCTCCTGCCCCCATTCTCTCAGGAAGTGTTTGGAGGAACTGATGAAGGCCAGATGAAAACATCAAAATGACAGCAAAACACTAAAATTCCATTCAGTAGATATGCTCTGATTTGAAAAACAGCTCCTCGATCCAAAGGCCCCACAGTAAGCTTAGAGCAGCTCCTAACATGTTAGGAAGTGTGGTTTTGCTTTTTATTCGGCTAAACCCACATGGCTGGGAGGACTGCCTGGAGTTGAAATTTGATCCACAGCCTCAGTGTCGGCAAGTAGAGGGAGTCATGTGACGCCGGTCTTAAGTCACTGACATCTTTTTCTTAAACCTGACTTTCTAGATCCCACGCACAACAACGCTTCTTCAGCTCAGAAAACTACCAGTCACCTGCTGCTATTCATTAATAGGACTAACAGTGCATAAGGGAAAAGCACAAACTTGCTTCCTAGTCACTGCTCAGCTCTAAGAAAAATTTACACATTCAAACTCAGCTTTAAGTCTGCAGGCACATTCCTCATTTTTCTGAGGTAGTTTTCTCTTCCACTGGACCCTAGAAACCAGCTAAATTCTACCAAAATTTTCTTCCTTCCATCCTTATTCTATCAGAATTGCTTTAAATAAAAATGCTCTATTTTACATAGCTGTTAACTGCTTCTAAATACTTTCAAATTATCTTATACACATATACTGATGAACATAAACATACTTCTAGACATCCATAATTCTACATATGTGATTTGCAGCAAAATTAGCCTCTAACCCAACTTTCAGTAACTTTCTACTCCATATGCTATGTCATTAGAAAATTTGATAGGTTTTACGATTTCCAAATATTTGAACTGATAACTAAAATATCCATTTCAGGCAAGCCAGAAGGAAACTATTATGCTCTTTTTATTTTTGTAAGCACTTTTTCTGCCAATTTTTAATATATTTGGCATACTTAGAAAATGCTAATATTACATGTGCAGTGTCACTTGCCCCAGCTTTAAAGCATTTAAATTGTACAAAGGCATAAAAAAGTTACACCTGAGGAGAGTAGGTGGGAGGAAAAGGGAAAACCAAAATCAGCTCTCATTTCAATACTTCCCTTCAAACCTGATATTCCTTGTGTATCTATAGCTAACCAGCACCACGTGCAGCAGAGCCAAGACACCAAATCACGTTAAGCAAACCACAGGACATGACAGAGTGACAGAGTACATTTCATTTCTATTTATGCAGGTAAAAGATTGTGCAGACTCTATTTCCACAAGACAGAATCACACAACCCAAGTATCATAAAATGGAATGGAGTTGGGAGAAAGGACATAATCTCCCTTCAAAAAGAAAAAAAATGTTTCTACTTCTACCTTTATGTAGATTTTATCACGTATGCTTCCCATTCACCCATTAGAAAACTGGGCTGATTACTAGAGAACATTATCATAACAGAAACCTTTCTAAAATTTGTCTTCTTTTTCAGATAATACATGTATTGTAGGTCCGTCACGAAAAATAAAGCTATAGGCCCATCACCCAATCAGTATTTTTGCCAACACTGGGTCAGGCATCACACTGCATGCTGTACAGGCACTAATACGAGAGACATGGTGCCTTCTCCCATGAATAGTCCAGTGGAGGAAGGGAAGTAAAAACAACAACCCTCTGTGATTATTAAGTGCAGATAATGAGGTTCAGGACACACTATCCCAAAATATGGCACTTTGGCATATTGAATAATTTAAGCTAAAGGAATCCGAGAAAACTGCAGAGGCAGAAAGGCCACTCTCAGCCTCTCCCACCTTTCTCCCCCAAAAGCAGGTCATAGGATTTAGGAAGGACTTTCTGAATTCCCCCTGAAGCATGTCATAAGACCCTGATGTGAGACATGTCCTCCCTATATGAAAAGAATATCCTTATCTCTGAAAATGAAGGGTCACAGAGAAGAATCTGAACAGGCCTTGATAAATTTCCTTCAGTTTATTACTATTAGATTATACTCTCTTTTTCCTATCATATTTTTCCACGACTGTCCACTCTTCGTTAAACCTTGCATAAAAATACACAGATTTAACCATGTCTTCGGGTCTTTCTTATGATGGCTCCCGTCACATAAAATTTATTAAATAACTTTGTATGCTTTTCTCTTGTTAATCTGTCTTTTGTTATAGGGGCCTCAGCCATGAACCTAGAATAGGTTTTCCTCCCCTACATGGATGTGCTATTAAAGCAGCAAAGATAATAAAAGAACAGAGGACCCCAACAACACTTAACAAACATGTTTCCAGAATATTTTCTATGCTTGTTAAAAAACATAATTTAGATCTGATTTATAATTTTATGTCCTAATTTTTTTCACTTAAGATTATATCAGAGGCATGCTCCCACGCTAACACTATAAACAAATCATATTGTGTTCATATAGGAGATTCCTCAGTTATTCTCCCATGTGTAGACATTTACATAGTTTGATTTTTATACGTATGTGACTGCAAGTAATGCTTTGTCCTCATTCTGATTATTTTCTAGTAAAGATTCCTGAAAGTGAAACTTCTGGATCACAAAGGATATGAACATATGCTAAGGCTCCTGACATACACTGGCTCTGGAAGTTTATATTTTATAACTCAACTTTCCCAACTTTGAATATTTTATAAAATATATCCTAATTTAGTAAGTGAAAATGATTTCTCATTTTAAAACCGATATTTCTTTTTATTATCAGTAAAATTAAAGATTAAAAAAATCCTCATTAGCCATTTGTATTTTCTGTTCTATGAATTGTCTTTCATCCACTTTTTGGTCTGTTTATCAGTTTGAGTCTTATCAGTTGAAGTCTCTTTTGTGAGGTATTAAATCAAAGTAAATTTGGCCTGAGAAAGCCTCTGTTCTCCCATATTTGAGTTCTTATGTATGAACTGCAACCTAATTTAGTACTCAAGCTAAAAACCTAAACTAGAAGTATGCTTTGGTAACAACAGCTGAGTTTCAGCCAATCACAGCAGCCATACTTCAAATACCCACAGGCAACCAACTGTTCAAATCGAGCTCAAATAAGGCAAATGCCAGGCTGTAACCAATGCAGCTGTTTATGTATCTTCACTTCTGTTGTCTGTATATCACTTTCCTTTTTCTGTCCATAATTCTTACGGATCTGTGGCAGTCCTGGAGTCTCTCTAAATCATTTCTGATTCTGGGGGCTGCTTGATTTGTGATTTTTTTCTTTGTTCTTGCTCAATTAAACTCTGTTTAATTTAATTTGTCCAAAGTTTTTCTTATAATAAATTTGGTGTCAGAAGTGAGGATCTGAAGTAATACTCCAGAGGCCCCTAGGAACACTAGGCAACCAGGTGAGGTACCTGTGGAGCCAGTTGGGCTCACTGCTGTTTTTGTTTGTAACAAGAAGTCATGGGTGAATTTTCTCATGCATTCCAAGCTCCACTAATTTGGGTCCTGAGCTCTCCAAGTTTATTTGAGCAATATTTAGACTGGATTGGGTCCAGGATCAGATTGGATTTGACAATTAACTCTACTAGATTTGGTTAGAGGTCTTGAGCCTCAGGTAGGTACGTTTTTGATAATGTATTGTTTTAACCCAAGGAGTCTGGAACTCTAGATAATTTTATGTATAAAACTTATAGGCCCAGAACTTACATACATTTTGACAAAAGTGGGTTCTTACTAGAGACAATGTAGAAATTAAGATGGCCACAATGTGGAAGTTTTAATTTGGATAAAACTATTTATTTGTAAGGCATATCAGGAAAAAGAGGATCAAAACCCCCACAAAAACAGTGGGATACATACAACAATTGATATGTGAGGCATCTAAAAGAGTAATAAAAAATTGCCTCCTTAAAAGATTCTTTGCAAAAAGCAAATGAAAAGCTTAAGCAACCGATGAAGGATAAGTAAGAGGACTGTACTCCCACTGAACTAACCTCAACTGTTCCTTCTCTTTATGCAACTTTACCTAAATACTGAGTCCACTAACTTTTCACTAAATTACCCTCTTACTCAGAAGATGATGAAAAAAGAAGTTAGATAGATGCCTTACGAAGTAAGACCTTCTGATCAGTCAGGCTTTTCTGCTGTAACCACCTCCACTCCATGGTCTAAAACAGCTTAGAGCTATTGTAAGGGACTTCCCTAAGCCAAGGGAAAATCCTCAAAATTTACTGAGGAATTTAGAATTCCCATAGTGTTGCTCCCAACCAGGTTCATATGCCTGCCGCCCAAGAAGCAGCCAACAGGCTGAGTTAGCTGGGTTTTATAAGGCAGAGAGAGTCTTTATTCCAGATAGTGCTAAGTGAGGAGACAATAGAAATTTCTCAAATCCGCCTCTCTGAGAATTTGGGAGACAAAGTTTTTAAGGGTAGTTTGACAGGCCAGGGATTAGGCAATTGGGTTTGCTACTTGGGGCAAAATTACAGAAATGTAGAAATCATTTTCTTGTTTCAGTCCCTGGGGTCACAATTCCAGTAGAGTAGGTTTCTTGGTATGGGCCACTGGTCCACTGGGTGGGTCAACCAACCCACTGGAATGTGGGCCCTAAAAAATATCTTTAAAAACTACCTTTAGGTTTCGGCCGGGCGCGGTGGCTCACGCCTGTAATCCTAGCTCTCTGGGAGGCCGAGGCAGGCGGATTGCTCGAGGTCAGGAGTTCGAAACCAGCCTGAGCAAGAGCGAGACCCCGTCTCTACTATAAATACAAAGAAATTAATTGGCCAACTAATATATATAGAAAAAATTAGCCGGGCATGGTGGCGCATGCCTGTAGTCCCAGCTACTCGGGAGGCTGAGGCAGGAGGATGGCTTGAGCCCAGGAGTTTGAGGTTGCTGTGAGCTAGGCTGACGCCACGGCACTCACTCTAGCCTGGACAACAAAGCGAGACTCTGTCTCAAAAAAAAAAAAACAAAAAAAAAAAAAAAAAACCTACCTTTAGGTTTCAAAAAGGTAATGTTATCTATGGAGAAAGTTAAGAATCTTTATGGGCAGCAACTGTGAGGGGAAGTTAAGAATCTCTATGACCACCAGCTGCATGGCTCAAGTGGCAATTATAGATAAACAAGCAGGGGGACAATTACTAATTATTACCATTATTTTTAGCTAGGCCCTTACAACAGGTCTTGCCTTGCACCCTGTTATTGATTTGTGAAAAAGGCAGCTTCAGTAGGAGCTTGCGATCTAGGATTTCCTGACCTTTACCAATTTACTCATGTCATATTGGGGCATGGTGAAGCTCAAAAATAGATGACAGCAGTGGAATGAGACAAACCTGAGGATATTAAAGACACTTCTAAAACCTAATGAGAAGGGCTAAATGAAGCTAGAAAAACTGAAAACGTTTAGATTCAAATTACGAGATTTTTCCACAAAAAATCTATCAGTCCATAATATAACCTTACAGACCAAAAGAAGAAGAAGGATGAACCAGTTTCAGAGTACGGAACTGGCTTAGAAACACTGTGAAACATTCTGGGCTCAAAATACAGCAAGGAGTAGCTCCCATGGGGACTGAAACAGCATCAGCTACTCTATTTATAAATAGATTCCATCCTGAACTTAGCAGTTTAATTAAAAAACATAAACCAGGACAGGCATTCAGAGATACGACCGAATTGGTGCCCTCTATTGAACAAAAAGGAAAAACCCAAAAGGCCAAAAATCTTAGTCTCTCCAATTCCAATAGCGACTGACATCAAAGACATCTTCCTTCTTATTTTTATTTAAATCACAACCAAGAGGTCCTTCAACAAGAAATTCTTTAACCCCAAGCACCTGCCTTCACTGCAAACAACCAGAACACTGGAAAAGACAGTCTGCTTTTTAATCAGTCCCCCAACTCCCTCCCTTTAGCTTGGACTGTGTCGCCACTAGAGGGAGCCCAAGATTAACTCTGCAATCATAATCAACACTGATAACAATCAACAGCGGTTGATTCTCCAGTAAACTGTTCCAAGATACCCGTAAACAAACATAGAAAAACAAGGTAAAATAAAATGTGGAATCTTGTACAATTCTAGTGGACACCAGAGGCACCTTATCTATTAATACCATATAAACTCAACTTTAATAAGCCAACGAATCCCTCAGAGTAAAAGGTTATTTATGTGGCGGGGTTTTTATTCGCGTTCAAGCAGTTCCCACGTCTGAACCTGTCCAATTGACCTTAGGGTCATTTTCAGAAAAAGAAAAAAAAAAAACATTTTTATTATGTGATACTGCTCCAGTAAACCTGCTAAGGCGATACTTACCTTCAAAGATAAGAAGGCATATAAAATTCTCAAGAGAATAATCTTAGCATTTCCTGACTCTCCTGAACCAGTACTACTATGCTCTCTACAAGCAGAAATTGGTAAGATTGAAATTCAGGCCCATAATACCCCCTGACCTATCTAAAATACCTGAATATTTGTGGGCCTCAACTGATATAGGAAGGATTAAAAGTGTGGAACCTATAAAAGTCCAAATAAGTCTTTATAAACCTGCAGTCCCCAACCCCTGGTCTGTGGCCTGTTGGAGACTGGGTGCAGAGCTCCACCCACCCCCATCCCACTGTGGGTAGAAAAATTGTCTTCCATGAAACTTAGGAGGGGGGGGGGGCACACCCAGCAGGAGGTGAGCAAGGGAAGCTTCTTAACATCCATCTGTATTTACAACTCCCCCTGCCATTCTGTGGAAAAACTGTCTTCCATGAAAGTGGGAAACTGGTCCCTGGTGCCAAAAGGCTGGGGAACGCTGTTCTAAATCTTTTCCTAAATCACTCTAGTATCCACTAAAACTTGAAGCAATTCAAGGGCTCTCACCAATAGAAGATTTAATTAACCAAGAATTTATAAGTAATTCTCTGTACCAGTCCTTGAAATACTCCAGTCCTACCAGTTAAAAACCCAAATGTGTAAGGCTGCACATTTATTCAAGATTTACAAGCAATTAATAAAATTGTAATAGCAAGATTTCCTGTAGTCCCAAATGCTAATAATTTATTATCTAATAAAGTACTTGCTGATTCAAAGTGGTTCATGGTAACAGACCTCTGCTCAGCCTTCTTTAGCATTCCAGTTCATAAAGAGAATCGACACTTGATTGCTTTTACTTGTAAAACAACAACAAAAAAAATCAGCTGTACACCTGGACTTTAATGCCACAAGGCAGTAGGCCCCAACCATTTTGAC